TCTTCAGTGAATTACTGCTTTTAAGGAAAATACATGCAATCAGTCTGATGGTGGGATTATTGCTTCCAAGTGGAAATACAGGACAGGACAGGAATTCTAGACATTGAGATGAGTGTGTAGATAACTGGGCAGGTAAAAGGTTGGAAAGATTGCTCAGAGCTAGGACAATGGACTCCCATAATAGGAGACAAATTTAACTTCTTCAGGTCTTGTTTCATCCTGTAATGGTTAAAGATGGCCTTAAAAGATAAGGTATTCCTGTAGGATCAGCTAATTTCTCTTCCTCTCCATAGCTTTCAAGGCACGAGAGGCTGAATGTAGTGAGAATACCTCACTTACTAGGGGAACATCAGGAATGCAACTGACACTCGTACAAAGTCTCCTAAATTCTTAATTTTGATGTGGGGTCTTTCTTTTACTATTGCTAACCTCTCTACAAAAACAAACAAAAGAGAAGGGCAGTATTAAGATTTTCTTTTCATCCTTTTCATCCATCTTGTATGCATTCAATATGATGCTATTACTCCTTATGTAATGATGAATAATATTTTGGATGTAAGTTTTCTCCTTCCTTCATTTTAGCAACTTGCAGAGAATAGCAGAGAAGTTATTCATGAATTTGGAAGAAAGTCTGCAAGGGATTCTTTGACAGCGTAAGGAAGTTGTGCAGTTGCTCACACTGAAACAGTGCTGCTGAGATTTATGATCTTGAACCTGTCCATAGATTCCCAGGATATCTGAAGCAAATCATCAGTCATCTATCTCCCTGAAGATAGCGTGTGATGTTAGCACTTCTTGTCCTATTAGGAGCATGGGGAAGGTCAGCCATGAAAGTTTACAAGTCGCTGAAGAGACTTCACCACCTTTATCCCCTTCTCTGACAGAACCTGGAACAATATACTATGGGCAAGGTGTGCAAACACAGTGAATAGCCAAAAAAGGAAGAAAACCTGATCTTCCATCTCATGCCATGTTTGCTGTCACTGAACACTGGATAAGAGAGTCTTTGAGGATAAACAGTATTCAGTAATGTCATAACAGATTTAGTCAAAATGTGCATGTGGAACTTGCTGAATTAGCACTGTTTTTAGTAGCTTTCACATCTCTGTAGTTGCAGGAAAGCTCTTTGAACACAGAAATTTCTGTGAGGATTCCGTGCTAGATGCTCCTGTCAGAAAACCGCTGCTCAGCTTTACATAAGTGATGCAGAATGCCTGGCGCTGTCTGCAGATCCATGTTACCTTTAAATGGGCACATTAATGGGTCTGTGAAAAGGTGGCAAAACAGTTCTAGTACCCTCATTAACAACTTCCATGATCCTTCCTTTTTTAAGAGCCTCCTCTACCAAAAAGTGCAAGGAGGCAGAGGATAACTAACAAAAGAAACATTTGGTTTATCACTGGTTGTGCACTTTTTTCATTCACAACCTATTCTCACTGCAGTTTAAAACTTTACAGGAACGGAAAGATAAGTATGAAGCAACGACATTCGACTTTCTGCAGCTCCTGCCCAGGCTAGACAGCTCTAGCCTAGAGAGTCTAGAGAGTCTGTCCCATTCTCTATCTTAGTCTTTTTTTTTTAATCTTTTTTTAGGTGCATCTAGAAAGAAAACAACTTGTTCTCAAAGTCTTGAGTTCCCCATTCTGATTCTCTCTTCACTTGATGCAGTGTGATCAGTGTCTCCATTTCTTGCAAAAGAGGCTCAAGATTCAGAGAAGGAAACATTTTATTTTCAATGTACTAAAGCATTTTTCATTTAGATTTCTGTAACCCTTTATGTCCAAAAGTACTAGCACATCTCAGTAAGTTAAAGACACTTAACTACAGTAGCATTTTGGAAACTTTTTATACAGACACATTTTTGGCACACCAGTGCTATATTCACATTCATTCTTTTGCTGTAGCGTGGAATGTTTCTTTTTATTATAGGTATTTACGTAAAAGATACCTTCGTTGAGCCAGATCCTAGCTAATATATCTGGATTCTTTACTTTTGACACCCATCTAGTGGACACAATAGAGTATCACAGAATTCCTACCACAACAGCTATGTGCACATCTTGCACACACAGTTACCTGGTGGTGCAAGCAATGGGGCCTCTCACTGCCAACCAACTGTGATTTTGTAGAACTGACTTCTCATCTTTTTATGGTCAATATTTAATAACCTGACAGTGAAGTCATTCATGGAAGCTTGGCCTTAGTTTTTGACTGAAAAAAAAAAAAAAAAAAAAAAAGGGAATATTCATATTGTGTCACAAAAGGTGGATGAAAACCAAATCTGCAAATAAAACTGCATGTTACTATAATCCAGTGAAATCCAACCTTTTATGTGTTTGAATAATTAAGTCTACCATGAAGAAAATTAACTTAATAGACGTTCATTTTTTAGCATTTTCCTGCTGAGCCAGAGTCATGTTTACCTTCATTTACACCACCCTTAAGCTTTTATTTCAGATTTTCTAGACAAGCCTATATATGTGTATGTTTGAAATAATACTGTCTTTCAGTAGTTTTGCTAAGCACAGGAGTAAATAACCACCTTCTTTTTTATATAAAATTGCATGCAATGTCTACCATTTTGTCCTTAGCAGAAGAAAATATGCAGACTGTGTGTTTAGGAGTTTGTGTTTCTTTACATCTGTTAGAAGAAAATAATGTTATTATTTTGGCAATTAAGTAAGTGTCATGATTTTGAGCTCTTAAATGTTCCAAAACCTTCATTGGCATTGTATTTTTTCTGCTCTTGAAATACTCAGGAAATCAAAAGAAATCAGTATCTTTATCAACGTCTTTATCAGTATCAGAGTTAGTATTACTAGTCAGTAGTAGTAGTCAGGCTAGTGGTAATGGTAATATGGACATCAATGTGTGGTCATACAAGCTGCAAAGGATATCTTACCTTTTTTATTTCTTTTTGTTACTGTTTTACCATTCATGCTATCTTGTACTTTCATCTTATATAACAACAGTCGTAGTAGTATTCATACTGACTTGCCCTTTGAAATATTTTTTCACTGATTTTTTTTTTTTTTTTTTTTGGTGAGTAGATCTCACAGTGATCAAAACCACAAAGAACAGGGAAAATGAAACAAAAAAAGGAACTTTGCGTTATCCAGAATCTCAGCAAACTGGTGGCAGAACTCTCGTTCACTGTCATGCAGATTATGTTTTCTTTTGGTTTGAAATCAATAATATTATGTAATGATAGTATATTAGAAGACACAGAAGTACTTTGGCATAATTAAAAGAAACCAAATTTGGGAAAGTGTATATGTGTTAGTGTTAACTGCTAGTGAATTTGTTAGAAATGTCTGCTGAAGTTGATTTGTTTAATAATCTGTATTTATAACCTGTATTGGTTTATTACAGTGTTTTTTTTTTTTTACTGCTGATTTATTATATGCTGTGATTACCGCCTGAAAAATACCTGTTTAATGCCTGTTAGTAGCTGTTTCTTAATAACTTTTCGGAAAAAAAATTGCTTTCTGAGGCAATATATAGGCAGTGTAGATTTATTTGATTAGTTCATTCAGCACGCAAAAAGGCTGGAGGAGTGCTGTCACTTCAGTGAAATATTACCACTGCTGACAAGGCAGCCTCAGGTCAGTGGTAGATAACAGCAAGAAGCAAGCTAGTGCAGAGAGTAGCTTGTACCTGCTGTGACATGAGCCAGGCTGAAGTCTAATCAACAGCTGATATGTACCAACTATTTTCTCTTCCACTGCCCTTAGACATGATTGAAAACAGTGGGTTATCCTTAATATAAACACTCTTTTCAAAAGTTCTATATTTAGAATTGTTTGTTAGATTCTAAAGCTTACTGGCACTTAAAAAGTTATGTGATAGGTCCCTTTGCTCATCATTCCTGTGCGCTTTAATAGCATTACTTGAGTTCCTGTTACTGTGCTTAGAATTTGTAAACCAAGGTCATACACACCTTTTCTCACATGCTTTAAAACTAAAATTTATCTTCAGTTTTAGAGATGCAAACAAGAGAAACAGAAATCCTTCTACTTCTGGCCTATTGGAATGTGCTCCATTTTAAAATCACAAAATCTTGCTAATCAGTCATTCATGACTTCCAAGACTCCATACTGCAACAACATGATATCTAGAAACTAACCTATATCCTCCAAAAAGACTCTTGTCTGGTACCAAATACAGCTATCACACTGCTAAACAGCATGGGTTACCATGAATGCATCACCCAGCACTGCTTACCCTGCACTGGTTTCTAATTAATTAAGTCCTTTTCAAGGTCTTTGTACTGATTTTCAGAGCCCTTTGTGGAATTGTCTCTGTCTTTTTTTTTGTGTCTCTCATGACAGCAGTGCTCCCTTGGAACTACCAAACAATAACTAGAAGTACTAGATTGAAACTGCAGAGTTCAAAGGTGTAAGACAAGAATGGCCTCAAGTAGTCATTTTGTTTGGCAGTGATCACAGAGCTCATTTATTCAATCCAATTGTAAAATACTATCTCCCTCTAATGCGTGCAAATACACATTATTCATGCTTGATTTATTGAGAAAAGACAAAATACATTCTTGAAGTACTTGAGCAGTAATGAAGTATGAGGAATGGGTACTCCATAACAAAAAGAACACCTGCTTCACTCCACTGGGAATTGGAGTAATGAGGGTCAAGCTCCGGTGAGATGGGGCCTTAAGAAGAGAACTGTGTCATATTCCTGATGTAGAGAGCTCATAAGTAGTCAGCATACAGAGAAGTATATAAGCTCCTGTATTGCTAATAGTGGTTTGTTTTTTTCCACTATCAAATTTAGTTTCCTTCAGACTTATTTTTTGGTTATGAGCCATTGTACACCGTATTTCTTGTGTACCCTGTTTTTGTGTTAGCAGTGAAATTGATCAGATCATGATTTCTCCAATGAATGAGAAGCAGATCTGCCTACTGATAAATTTGCCAGGAGAGTGTTCATTACTTTCAAAACTCCTGTGCTGATGGCACAAATCTTTTTATCCTTTCTTTTTACAGTTTCGATGTGGACAATGGTACATCATCAGGACGAAGTCCCTTGGATCCCATGACGAGCCCTGGATCAGGGCTAATTCTTCAGGCAAATTTTGTCCACAGTCAACGTAGGGAGTCTTTCCTTTACCGGTCAGACAGTGACTATGATCTCTCTCCGAAGTCTATGTCGAGGAACTCCTCCATTGCCAGTGATATGTAAGTACATTATGAAGTTCTTTTAGCACTTATTTTGGGCTATAATCGTGTTAACATCTTTCCAGCCACAAGAAATGTTTAAAATTCAAAGAGAATGATCAGTTGTGTTACTGACGTCATGGATATTTAGATAATTATTTCATTATTTATGCTTTATTTGTTTCTGCAGTATTTTGAAAGTAAGGTTATCATGAAGATGTACTTGATGTGCTTATGCACTGTACTAACTTTGGCAGAATACTGAAGGCAACCAGTACTGATTTTCACAACACTAAAGAGAACTGTAATATCTTGATTGTTAAGATTTTTTCAACTCAAGCTGTACAAACTCTATTTCTGCTTCAAAATATTCTTTTTTTTTTTTTTTTTTTCCCCATTTATTTAGAGTAGGTATTTGTAAGCTTTTAGATATAAGATTTATTACTTGTCATAGAGTCACAGAATGATTTGGGTTGGGAAGGACCTACAAACCATCCAGTTCCAGCCCCTTGCCATGGGCAGGAATACCTTCCAGTAGACCAGGTTGCCCAAGATCCTATCCAGCCTGTTCTTGAAAACCTGCAGGGATGATCATGCACAACTTTTCTGGACAGCTTCTTCCAGCACCTCTCGACTCTCATAGTGAAAAAATTTCTTCCTTATAACTAATCTATATCTACCCTCTTTTAGTTTAAAACTATTACCCTTTCTCTTATCACTACAATACTTAATAAAGAGTCCCTCCTCATCTTTCTTGTAGGCTCCCTTTAAATACTGAAAGATCACAACAACATCTCCCCAGAACTTTCTCTTCTCCAGACTGAATTCCCTTGGCCTGTCTTCATAGGAGTGGTGCTTCAGCCCTCTGATCATCTTTTGTCGCCCTCTTCTGGAAACACTCTTAATGTGTTCCATGTCTCCTTTCTGAGGGAGGACCTAGAGCTGAGTGCAGTACTCCAGATGGAGTTTCATGAGCATGGACTAGGGAGGAAGATCACTCCCCTTTACCAGTTAGCTAGATTTCTTTTACAATAGTATAGGATAGAATTACAGAATATATTCTGATTTAGAAGGAATTCACAAGGATCATTAAGTCCAACTTGTTGCTCCACACAGGACCATCCAAAAATTCAAACCATATTAATAAAATCAGAATGTCTTGAGTTAGGTGGGGCATCAGCCACCTTGCTAGGAAGCCTAATCCATTGTTTGACCAACTTCACAGAAAAAAAATTTCCCAGTGCCCAGTCTAAAACTCCTCCAGCATCTTTGTGCATCATGTGATCAGTGCCCAGCCACAAAGCCCTGATCCTCCCTCTGCTTCCCCTCCTCAGGATGCTGCAGGGAGCAGTGAAGTCACCTCTCCACCTCCTCTTCTCCAGACTGGACCACCCAACTGCCCTCATCCTCTTCTTACAGGACATGCTTTCCAACCCTCTGCCAACTGTGTTGCCTCCTCTGGACACATTCAAGAACCTTAACACTCTTTTATATTGTACACAGTATTTAAGATGGGGCTGCATCAATGCTAAATATAGCAGGAGAATCTCTTATTTTGCCAGTCTGGTTGTGCTGTGTAAATGCATCCCAAAGAGCATAGTTCTGGCTTATGCTTACCTGCGGGCACCAACACTCCTAGGTCCCTTCCTGCTGCACTGCTCTCCAGCACTTGTGTCCCATCTGTGCCTAAATCTTACATTGCTCTGTGCCAGGTGCAGCATTATCCTTAGCTGAGGTTCTTGCTGCTGCAGCTGAGAGCGGGGTTGGTCTCTACTCATTGGTGACAGGTGACAGGACGAGGGGAAATGGCCTCAAGTTGTACCAGGGGAGGTTTAGGTTGGATTCTTTACAGAAAGGATTGTTAAGCACTGGAATAGGCAGGTGGTTGAGTCACCATCCCTGGATGTGTTTAAAAACCTTTTCTGGACGTGGTGCTCAGGGACATGATTTAGTGGTGGGTTGTTAGAGCTAGGGTAGTGTGATTAGGTCATGGTTGGACTTGATGATCTTGAAGGTCTTTCCCAACCTGAGCAATTCTATGATTCTATGATTCTATAATTGCTCAGTGCTCCAGTGTCTCTAGAACCAGGACAAGGTTGACTTTCTGGGTTGCAAATGAGCACTGCTGGTTCATACTAACTTTTGCATCTAGCAGTGCTCCCAAGTCCTTTTCCACATAGTTGCCAGCCTGTACTTACACAGCTTGTATTCATGTTTGAAACTGCTCCAACCAAGGTGCAGGACTCTGCACTTGGTCATGTTGAACTTCATGAGGCTCACAAAGGCTGAGCTCTCAAGCCTGTCCAGGTCTCTCTTGATGGTATCCATTCCTTCCAGTGTGTTGATCACACCACACAGCTTGTGTTGCTATCAAACTTGCTGAGGATGCATTCAGTCCCACTGTCCATGTAAATGACAGAGATGTTAAACAGCATTTGTCCCAGTACTGACCCTGGAGGCTCACCACTAGTCACTAGTCTCCACGTGGACATAGAGCTGTTGACCACAGCATTTGAAATGTGACCATCCAGCCAGTTCCATTCATGAAATCCATTCTTTCCAGCTTAGTGAAAAGAACGTTGTACGAGATGTATCAAATATTTTGTCCTGATCCAGGTTGAAAAATTAATAAATTCAAGAGATGCAAAGGAGAAGATCTTTGGAAAGTTATTCTGTCCTCTTACTGAAGTAGACTGTGTTATGTGTCTTCTGTTAAAGACTCATAATTTGCAAATATGTGTAGATGCCAGATTGGATGGGTAGTGGAAGTTAAATGTTTGTAATACACTGAAAACATGTTCAATATCTATCTTCTGTCACCTGAAAATTATAGAAATTAAGAATTTTTGTTCATTTGTTTGCTTAATCTTCTACAAATTTCACTGCCAAATAGGTGTTTATGGCTCAATTATAAACTGCTAAAATAAAGGACCATTCTTATAAGAGTTTCCTAGTGAACAAGGATGTAGAAAGCATTAAAAATCCAGCATTAATATAGAAAAAAAAACAATAAACATCCTCTTAAAAAATATCAGCAGCACTAGTATGCACAACAAAGGAAATTGGTTTTCATAATGAGTGAAATTTCATGTGATACTTCACTCACAATCATTATAATTGGAGATTCCTATTCTCACCTTAGATTTTGTTTTTAGAAGTGTTAATTAGACCATCTATTTATAACTTTCTTCCTAAGTAAGTGTCAAGATGAACAAAGCTCATGCCTTTGTTTTGGTTTAAGTTGTTTAAGGTACATTACCAATTAAGTATAGTAGATTGAAGTACTTTTAAGCTTTTTTCCCAGTGTGACCAATTTTGACTGAGACCTGTCCATGCCCTGTTGTCTTATAATTAACAAAAAAAAGTTTTCAGTTTGTAAATGGAGACCGTCATCAAGCAGACCTTTTTCTGACATGTAACATTTCTTACAGATATGCTAAAGTTAAGTTTTTGGTGCTGCACTCTTGTAAGGATACCATTTAGGAAGTTTTTTACATTCAGGCGGGCAATCCAGGTCATTGCCTTGCTTAGATGAGTCATTTCAATTAAGAATTCAATTAGTGTTCCATCCTTGCACTCATAATCCTCTTCTACATTTCCTAGAATTCTGGGTAATATTTCAGCACATGAAAATAAATTGAATTAAAAAATTAATTACTGAAACACTGAGCACACTTTCTTCTTTGGCTATTTGTATCTATTCTTGACCCTTTGTGGGGTCAGGACCCTGAACTTTGGAAGAGCGAACTTTAAGCTGTTCAATGGATTGTTGGCCAAGATCCCCTGAGATGCTGTCCTTAAAGACAAAGATGTTGAGGAGAGCTGGCTACTCTTCAAGGATGCCTTTCTGAGAGCACAAGAGCTCTCCATCCCTCTGAATAAGAAAGCAGGTAGAGGAGATAGGAAACCAGCATGGCTCAGCAAGGACCTACTGGGCACGCTGAGGCCAAAAAAAGGTGCATACAAATTCTGGAAACAAGAGTGTGTCACCTGGGAAGAATACAGGGATGCTGTCTGGACTTGCAGATGTGGGATCTGGAAAGCCAAGGCGCAGACAGAATTGAACTTGGCAAGGGACATGCAAAACAATAGGAAGACCTTCTACAGGTACATTGGCTAGAAGAGGCAGGTCAAAGCGAGTGTACCTCCTTTGGTAAATGTAAAAGGAGAACTGGCTTCAAAGGACGAAGAGAAGGCTGAGGTACTGAATGAGTTCTTTGCCTCGGTCTTCACTGGTGGCCAGGATTCAAATATTTCTCATGTCCCTGAGCCCTGCATCCCTAAACCTCTAGGTGGGGACTGGACAGTAAATCCCTCCCCGCACTGTAAGGGCAGAGCAAGTTTGAGGTAGCCTCATGAGACTCAATGCGTACAAGTCTATGGGGCCGGACGGCATGCGTTCCAGGGTTCTGAAGGAGCTGGCTGAGGTGGTTGCCCAGCTGCTCTCCATCCTATTTGAAAGGTCATGGCTGTCAGGTGAGGTCCTGGATGACTGGAGGAAGGGTCACGTCACTCCCATATATAAGAATGGGAGCAAGGGGGACCTGGAGAACTATAGGCCAGTGAGTCTCACCTCTGTGCCTGAGAAGATTATGGAACATATCCTCCTGGACAGCATACTTGATCACATGAGGAATGAGTATGTGATCCGAGACAGCCAGCATGGCCTCACCAGGGGAAGGTCATGCTTAACCAATCTGGCGGCCTTCTATGATGGAGTGACAGCATTGGTGAACAACAGGAAGGCGACCGATGTCATTTATTGGACTCGAGCAAGGCCTTTGACATGGTCCCCCACCACATCTTTATCTCCAAATTGGAGGGATGTGGATTTGATGGGTGGACCACTCGATGGATAAGAAACTGGTTGAAGACAGAGGATAGTGATTAATGGTTCTGTGTCGAGGTGAAGACCGGTAACGAGCGGTCCCCCAGGGGTCTGCCTTGGGACCGGTGCTCTTTAACATCTTTATCAATGACACTGATGAGAGAATCGAGTGCACCCTCAGCAAGTTTGCTAA